CCCCGGCAGCTCAGTCTCAGCCCCAGCTCTGGGAGAGCTGCTCACCTGCCTGTTTCCACGCACACTTCAACAGCCTGCCTGGTAAAATCTGGCATTTCTTTCGCGCTTGTTTGTCCTTTGTGATGTGGAGCATGCTTTTAGCTTGCGTTAGTTCTCGCTGCCTGGTCTGTGAGCTGACGAGAGGGCACAATACAAAACGTGAGGTGTTATGTTTCTGAAGGTTTAAAAAAATGCTGGGTGGGTCGAACAGCGTCAGTAAGCAGAATGGAGCTCCATTCTGAATGGAGGACATATTTGTTTGTCTTTAGGTTGTCTTTAGGTTTCAAAATGCAGTTTGGTTTGCTTTCTTTGGTTTGGTTTGCTCCTGGGTCAGCCTCCAATTGCACTTGTTGTTTCATCAGTGTCTTTATTTCTCTTTCTTGTAAATTACTTATGAGAGTTTTCTTTCCTGCTGTTCCGCTGTTTTTAAAATCCAGCGGCTAATTTTACCATCATAGTCTGCAGACACTTCCTGCTAGTTTGCACATAAAATCTGATGCAGAAAAATACACTTTTGTTCACTTTTGCATTATTACTATACTGCAATATTACTATACATTGTACTTCACTTAAACCTAAGGAAGGGTTTTTCCTAAACAGTGTTCTAGGACAAAGCACACAGGTTTTTCCATGTGTGTATCCAACCTTCAACCCATTTTACAGAGTTGTCAATGCTTTTGTCATTTGTTCACCATAACACATGTTCATAACAGTATGTGTATTTATTTATTGTTCGGTGTCATGCAGCGTCCAGGAGATTGTAACTGTGTTCTTTTGTCATTGCTTCCAGACTTTTCTTTCTTCTTGTGCTGGCTTTCTTTTTCTTTCAATTCATCTCTCATCCAGCTCCTAATGCTCTCTGCCCTTTACTATGGGTAACTACAGCTCAGCCTTCACTGCTGGTAAGGTCATCTCCTCCTCTCGCCTTCCCACCCCCTGCCTCTCCCCCCTCGCTCTCACTCTGGAACCCTCCAGCCCCTCTTGGTCTCTCTGTCCTGTGCATGACATGTTTCATTCACTCCCACGCTGTGAGACCCCCTCTGCCTGCAGTGTCAAGCTGAGAATGGAGACGCTGTTTAACAATAACTGGACTCTTTGCTGTTGCAGCAGTTAAAATGGTCTTTGGATGAACTTGCAAAATCGAGACACTTCATGCTGAGGGTGTGGTTATGGCTGCTGTCTTTTTCATTTCTAATAAACTTTTAGTTTGAACTATTCTTCTAGACAGACTGTATTAAAACACTGTGCCTAATTTTAAAATGTCAGGCAAGGGAAGGAAGAGAGAAACCGCAATCTTTATCCCCACAACACTAGCATTGTCAGTCGCCGGTGGTGATGAAATAGCTTGTGCCTTAATATTAGATGTTCTGTTACTGTGCTGCATTGCTGCAAAACGTGAAGCAATCTAGTTTGCTGCTTCAGCCTGCCCAGAGAGATTGTATTTTTTCATAACATTTCATGCATTGTTTTGCATTTGAGTTCAGTAATATTTACCACAGTCCTCCTACTTTTCTGGACTGTGTTTTGTTGCCCGAGCCTACGTATGCAGGAAGCAGACTGTGCCTGTTTTTTTTGTGATACTTTTTCATTGTCGTGGACCTGAATGCGTTCATCTCCTGGGCCTCACTGGAGCTTCTTTTTTAAGCTATTGCAAAGCCGGGAGAGTTTCACACAAGACGGTCTCTCACCTGGAGTAACACCCTTTTTTAAAGCACCTGTGAAAAGCTTATTCCAGGTATCCTTGATGTCCCCTGGCTTCTCTGCAGCTTTTCTTTTATCGATGCAGAATAAAAAGAGCAGGTGGACCGAGTTTTACGTGTTCTCTAACATTCGGGGTTCTGGAGCACAGCAATCCCAGAATGTGCTCCAAGCGATTTGATATTTTAGTCCTTGTCATTTAGTTCTAACGGATTTTGATTGTGTTTAATGATCTCAGCCGTCCAATGAATGTTTTGGTGTTTTTAAGATATTGAGGACTTTGACTCCATAGTGTCAACTGCTGAGAAGCTCAACCACCCCACGGCGTCCAGGCCCCGCGTGACCGACCGAAGGCCCCGATCTCAGATCTTCACCTCTGTGAGTGTGTGTCTGCGCGCGCCGACTCGGCAGGGCGGGGTCACAGTCCGAGCGGCGACCCCGCAAGGGGACGCGCAGCTCCTCGGTGAGGTGAAATCCCACTGGGTCCCGGCGGTTCAGTGAAGCTGATCCAGCACCGGGAAATACCCCCCTGACTGCAGCCCTCCAACAGCAGGTGCATTGCCGGGTGGCGGAAAAGCTCAAAGTTGAAACAGTCGGCACGGGGCGGCGTGTGAAACCCCGCACGGGCCAGAGCCAACCGCACACAGAACCGCAGCCCGGGCCCCAGCTGGCTCGGCGGCTCATCGGACACTCGCGCCTGCAGATGTAGGTGTCGGTGGCCTGCGTCTTAAATTAGAAGACCCACTGTGACCTCTGAGCTGCCGTGGCCCGGCATGGGCACGAGTTGTTGTTGTTCCCGAATTTTTAGGAGAGGCATCATGGGGCGTTGGGTCTGGCGAACCCGTGTTTGTGAGATTGAATTAATGGGGCGGGGGTGTTGGTGAAGGCTGGTGCCACTAGGAAGCCGGTGTGAGACTGAGCGTCGCGGAGGAGGGGAGGGGAGCGGAGGGCAGCTGATGCTGTTTATTCTGCGTGCGCAAGGATCTGGGAGGGCTGTCCCATCTCTGTCGGCACCAGTGATGGCTGATCCTTGCCCCTGCGTGCCCGCAGTTAGCACCCCCCCCCGAGTGCGGCGTGATCGGGGGGAGAGTTCGAAGTTAATTTTATTAGGGGCTTTTCACTTTGATGTTTCCCTGGGAATGCATAGCGCAGCTCGGGGGCCGTGCGTGCTGGGAGGGCAGGGACAGATTCCTGGCATTCCGCTCCGTTTCCACAGACTCCCCCGCCGCAGCCGGGTCCCGGCGGACTGGGCTGTCCGCTCGGAGGGCTCGGGGAACGACGAGCGCCTGCTGACGGGGGCTGCGGCCTCCGTTCACGTTCGAGGGGCGATTTCCTTCCTTTTTTTTAAAGCCGTTCCAACTCTCGTTTCTGGTGAACCTGTCCCAGCAGCCGTTCCTGCTGCCACAGGAGTCCTACTGGAACCGGCACTGATTGAGAGGCAAAACACTTGGCTTTTTAGAGAAAAGGACTTGGAAGTGAAAACCGGTCCTAGGTCAGCTAAGCCACAGGCTCATCGTGCAAAGAGCATCTTGCAGTGGGAGGCTGCAGGACGCAATGTGGCTTTAACAAGCCCAAAAAAACTTTCATTTAAAAAGTGACCAAACTGGAACCAAGGGGCTTCTCCCACTCTGCCTTCACTCCGCCTCTTCTGACAAATGAAGCAGTGCACTTCCATAGACCTGTACTCTGTATTACACATCAGTTTCCATTTTGGCGGGGGGGACTAGATAATTTTTCCTTTTTTTGTGATATGCCTCGTCGCCCCCAGATTTGAAACAGATTGACATTCCCGTCGTCCGACTCCTCTTTGCCCAGCCCATGACGTGATCACTTCACTATTGCGTGTGTGACAGAGAGCCGGCAGCACAGTCCTCTGTGTGTGTGTGTGTGGTGGGGGGGGTTATTCTGACATGCTGCATGGAGGCCAGTGCAGGTCTGCATAGTCTCGATTCCCGACAGGTTTCGGGAACAAGCATGAGACAAGCCTGACCTCACCGCTTGATAGGTTTACAGCGCCCCTCACCTGTTCTCTGGACGTGACGACTGCAGAGGACTCAGTTAAGCCCGGCTGTGCATGGCGCGCCGTGCCAGTTAAAGGAGAAGCCATTAAAAGGCACATTCGAGGTTTAAAGGAGACCTGTAGAGCTAATCTGGGATTTAATGGCTCACTAACTCGCTGATCTGCTTGCGCAGTGGAGTGAACGAAGGCTGTTTAGGTTCATGAGTGAATGATACTCATGGAAAAGTCTGAAAATAGGGGCACTGGATCCTGACCACTCCACCACAGGTTCTTAAACCCAACTGGCAGAATTCCAGTCTATCCTGAAAGTACTGTCATCGATAAACAGCTGGTGAATTTGCCTTGCAAAATTTCCCTTGTGTTGCAGGTCCTGTGTAATAATGCAGCTTTTCTCTGCACAGTCCTCTCTCTCCAGCCCTGACCTCCTGGACTCCCCCAGCCCCGAGGAAGACAGGAAGGAGAAGGAGGAGCAGGACTCGCCCTCTCCGAAAGCACTGGACACGGGCAGGAAGGCTCCCAAGCCAGTCCCTGTTTTGCCAGTAAGCCCGGCTCTGGTTTGCACACCGCTCCCAGTGTCTGTGCTCTCGGGGCAACTGACGCAAGGGCAGGAGAGTGAAGCCGGGGCAGCAGGTGTGGGAAAGTTGTGCCAGCAGGCAGAACTGAAATTCCCCTCCCCGGCGGCCGGAGGTGCTTCAGAGCTTCCCGGCCGTGTTGAGGAGTCTGAGGAGGGTGATGTCATTCAGCTCTGAACAGCTGCTCTCCCTCACCCAGCGCACCCTGATGAGTACAGGCTGCATCGGTACTGGAGGGGCCCGCTGGGACGGCCGCAGGCCAAAAGATTGGTCTGAGCCGAGAGCGCGCTTGGCTGTGTGGGGGTTTTGCTGGGGACGGGCAAGTTGGCTGCGCTGTCCGCCGCTCTGCCGAAGCCGGGGAGGGGGGGCGAGAGTCCAGCTACCCCAGTGTCGCCTTCCTGTTTGCCATTGCAGGTCCCCGAAAGCAAAACCCCTTTGCCCCCCAAACCAGGAGCGCCCCCTTCGTCTTCCGGCGCCGGCAACGCGGCCTCCTCCCTGCACCCGGGGGGCCCCGCCGTGGCCCCGCGGCCCCCCTCCCCCTTGCCCTTCGGCGCCGATGCCAAGCCAAAGAACGACCACGCCTCCCCAGGGGCCCCTCCCACCATGGAGGAGCTGCGCTCCCAGCTGCGGGACCTGCGGGGCGTCATCGAGCTCATGAAGACCCAGCACAAGTACGGGCCGCCGGCCTGCGGGTGGGGGGAGGGGGGGGCGGGATCGGGCTCCGTTCCGTCAGATCCGTTTCGGGGTTTGCGAGCTGCAGGGTCTGTCAGAACCAGTGGCCCCTTCACTCGGCTCAGGTCCGTGTTTGTGCAGCGGCAGAGCCTAGAGAATCGGCTCTTGATTGTAAGTGTATTATTAATGAGGTTGATCTGACTCCAGACCTCGGGGGGCCACTGCAGACTCTTCTGAGTTTGGCCCGGCTGACGCACTTTCACGCCCAGTTGATTTATTTGCTCGGTGAGACACCTTTACCTGCAGGGTGTTAAAATTCTCCGAATGAAGAAATTGGAGGAGACTGGGCAGCAACTGAGCTTGGTATATTTTTTTATAATCCTCTATTGAACCAGGTAATTGACTGGAGAATAAGTTCTCTTCACGGGGATGACCTGCAGACTCATTTATACTGCAGGACATGTACTGGCGCTACATGGCAAATTTGTATGCAAGAGCACTGCCCCACCCAGAACCTCTCCCCGCGACTCCACACCTCTGCCCTGAAGGACACTAGAGTATTGCAGTGGCAGCTCAGGACAGAAAGAGAACTTCCACTTCTGCCCTGCAGAAGCTCCGTTCGACAAGAGCTAATGCATGACATTCACACTGCACGTTCTTCCCTGCAGCTCGGGCAGAAAAGGTGGTGGATGTTTGTTCACACTCTTAGCAGCTGCTAGTGAATCTGCACTAATCCCTTAATCAAGGCTGGCCTTTCCTTTATGAATAGTTTGTACATCCTGAATGATTTAAACAAGTACTTAAAGGAACCTCTTTGCAATGAAAGGGTTTGTATGATCCTACTTAATGGTAATTAAGTGGTGTATGCCTTTTCATAACCAGATGCCTTCCAGATGTTTTATTTAATTGCGTGCAATAGAAAATTTAGATTAATTAACCCCAGACCTCATCGATATTGTACACCACAGAAAGTCTGCAAAGTAGATTTTAAAAAGTGAGGACTGTTATTCTGTGAACTCAGTCCTCTGCTGTTGTGTGCAGGGCGATAATGAGAATTTTTAATTGTTCTCCCTGTTTTCCAGAAAAGAGATTAAGCAGCTGATGAATGAACTGGATGAGGAGAAGAAAATTCGCTTATCATTACAGGTACAGTGCTGCACACAGAAAGACCTATGATGTTTAAAGTTTGATGAAAGCTAATATTGAATAACTTTGAGAAACTGGATACAATTTGACCTAGTAAGTATTGCGGGAGTTTCTGAACAGAAAATAACTTTTATAACCCTTTATAACGTATGCTTGAGTTTGTCAAATCAGTTGTATCATTGTACTTATTTACGTTGTTATTATTCCTGAAAAACCACCAAAGCAGCATCCTTGTCTGTTTGTTTTCCTGTAGATGGAGGTAGAGCACATAAAGAAAGTACTTCACTCGAAGTGAGCACAGCAGCGATGGACGCGTTGCATCACAGTACAAGCCTGAGACTCGTGCTTATGCCACAGCCAAATTAGTTTCGTGCCAAAAAAGAGAGCGAACTTTTTCTCAAGTGTTCCTGTCTTCCCCTCTGTTCCGATCTGATTAAGACCCGTGTTAGTGTAATGCATGAGCACACGGAGGTGAGTTACAGAGTGGCAGCAGCGGGGGGGGGGCAGGGTCCCCCGTCCCTATGGAACTGTGCTGCAGCGGATGCGGTTGCCATGGTGATTGTATCCATCTGGAGATCAATGACAGAGGGTGGACACGGCCCACAATGCCCTTCTGGTACTATTTTGACACTTTTTTTTTTTGCATTAATAAAAAGATAAACTAGATGCATTTCTCGGTTTACGTTGACATGTCACGTACTTTCCTCCTCCACCTCCCAAGTGGAGGTGTTTAGAGCTTCGTGTGGGTTGCAGAGTACATGTTGCAGAGTAATGCCCTGTGCGAGTGGGTTTGCCGATCGAGGTAAGCGGACAGGAAACAGGGGGACTCCTGAACAGCCCAGCAGAATCCCCAGACATGCTTCCCAGGCTGCTGGCACTGCACGGATGGATCACTGATGCCTTTTTTATTCATTTGGAGTACTCAAATTGTTTTTTTAATCAGTAATAAGGAATCCCATGTTTTCTAAGTCGGTTCTTTCTTTTACAAAATCTTCTATATATACTTTTATATTTTAATGTACTAAATACCATTATGTGTGGAAAAAAAATTTATTAAAAAAAAGCACAATGGATCCTCTTCCCCCAAGTGTGTCGAAGTCCTGTTTCTGCAACATGCCTGTCTTCAGTTCGGGAGCAGTCCGCTGTGTGATGGGGCGGGGTCCTGTCGCAGGACGCCTCAAGGCACCTGCCTGTGGTTGTCTGTTCTGTCCAGGAGGTGTCGCACGGAGAGAAGCCTTCGCGGTATCTGATCTGAGCCAAGCCTCTCTGTATCCCAGCTCAGATGTCAGGCATTGGGAAGTGCAGGAGAGATGTGATCACACACCCTGCTTTTACAGGTCTCCTCCAGCTATATGTTCCTGCATTCCTACCCTGCGCTCAGTCAATGATTTGGATTAGCCTGCAGTGGGCATCGCTTTTTTCCATTTCATTTCGAGATGCGTCATTCAGTCCTGCCACATGAGATGAGCCATTTCTGCTGAAATCTTAATGGCAATGAAGCTCGGATCTATGCCCGGGTTCACACAGAGCAAACTGTACAGAGTGGTTTGTTTAGCTTGCAGATTATGGTCTATTTTCTTCATTATCTTTATTGGCGATCTCAAGGGCCCAGGAGTACCTTTCAGAGAAGCGCAGATAACTCAGTCTCTACGGTATGATCACAACTTTATGACATCTGAACTGATGCCTGCCTGCACCTAGGCTTTTAGGGTGATCTCCAGAGGAGTTTACAGCTGCTGTAAATCCCACATGTAAAGTCTCTTTGGCTTTTTCTCAGGCTGCTGCATGATGACTGGGCCCTGGCTGGGCTTCCCATGCAGATATGTGGGCTGATATACAGTTTACCTGATGAATTACACCCTGCCTTTGGGACATGGTTTCTCTGTACTGTACATTTCTGTACATCAAAGAATTTGTCTGATTTGTTTTTTTATCTGTTTTGAGCCTTTTGGAGTTTTCTCTGTAGCTTCAATTGTGTTTGCTAATGCTTCTCTTTTGGTCTGTGCTAACTTGACTAGGTTTCTATTTTGGAATCTAGATCACCGTTAGAAGAGCAGTGGTCCTAATACAGATCCCTGAGGCACCCCACTAACTACACCATGCCAAATTCAGCTTTCACTCTGTTCTGTACCTTGAATGCCAAGTACCTGCGATTTAAGAATCAATCTTATATGAGGGAGGATCTCCAAAACCTTTCAAGTATCTAAATGCCCCACATGCTGTATGGTATATACTGTATTCAGTACTGCTGTGGCTTTTTCGGCAAGACCTATCATTTCAAAATCTGTATTTACAATCCCCTAGACTCCCAGCACCAGACAGATGATCACCCAATTCTAGTTATTGTTTCATAATGCACATGATAGAAATGAAACTTAATGTATGGAATTACTTTCTTCTGTTTTGTCATGTTTTATGGAATTGGTGCTATATTGGCATCTTTCCTGTCTATAAGTATGTTTAGAGTGACTGTGGGAACAGTTCTTAACCCTTATTTAGTTCTGCACCCCTTTGGTTCTGAAAATACGTTGTCGCACACCTAATCAAATATTGTTGGGACAGGTCATGTGTTTAAACATAAGCTATATTGTAACTATAGAATGAAAGAGATTTTAATTTCACAGTAAAATTAAGAATACATAAATTACACTTTTCCCCCCCAATTATATATTCCTGGGTTTGATGAAACGTAGCAGTTGTACTTGCGTGCCTGCTCTCAATTTGTGTATTTGATGATTCACCCTTCTAGAAAAAAAACCCTAGTGCGCCTCGCACCCCCAGACAGGGCATCTCGCCGCCCCCCCGAGTGCCCCAGGGTAACAAACCCCGCCCCGCAAAAACAGCTCTTGTCTGCTCAGGTCCCGTCAGGCCCCGGCGATGTATCCGAAGTGCCGATGTATCCGCGCCTGTCTCGCTCCCGCCTCTTCCCCCACTGACTGACACTTCCGGACGGAGCCTGCTCTTTCGCCCGCCTCTTCCCGAGGTGTGCCAGAGTGCAATCCTCCGACTTCTAACCTCACATTCTCATCTCACCTGCAGGACGAGCCTTGTCCTCAAATCGTCTGAGCACGTCCCAGTCATAACCTCAAGGCACTTATCCCCTGCTGGGGCTTTTTTGTTGCTTATGCAATACTGGAAAAAAATGAATAGAACCCGCACTACTGTCTTCTTCTCTCTGTGGTTTTCGGATAACCTTGTTTTCCCGTGCTTTCAATTTATTGCCCTGCGTTTCTTTAACTGTGTCCTGATCTTGATTAATACTCTTCTCAAGTCCTTCCTTTTTTTTGTCAAGCCATGTGGGACAGGAGTCTTTTTATCCTTTGGTTTATTTGCTCCAGCGTCCTGGATTTCTGCCGGACCGAGGGCCTGACCCCTGGGGCTGTTCCTGGAATGATTCGGGGAGGGAGGGAGGAAGCTGACATTCTGGCAGTGTCGTCACCGAGGGCGTTCCTCCGAAGATATGAATCCGGAGTCAGAGATGCTAGAAATGGAATTGAGTTCTCAGGCCACTCCTCCTCAAATTGACTCCAAACTCTTCTCATTCTGGTCTTCCTTGGAACTTGAAGAGACCAAGCGGGGACATTTTAGCCGGTTCCTTTTGCACTTGTCCGTGAGACTTTCGAGAGAGGCCAGAGGCCTTCGACTTTTGTTGAGCTATGCGGTTTTCTGGCGCTGGAAGCAAATTCCAGTGGCTCACACTAATCTGCTAATGAATTCTCGTTTCTGCACCCTGTTCGTCTGGGGGGCACTAAGTGCCGGGGCAGAATTTCACTCCGGCTCCACTCGGCTTCACTGCTAAGCGAGCAGCAGTCCAGCGGTTGATGAAAGATTCATTTTTTAGAAAGGGGAATTTAAATTAACTCGCTGGCATCACGCCTGGCCACTTAATCTGGAAGCAATTAATCAAACCTCCTTGTCCCTTGAAACTGACCTTGCCTTTTGAATGGCCCTGCTGAGCAAGCCCACAAACAGCCAGGCACGTTGCACGTGGTAGTGAAAATGAGGCCCGGTCTTATTACTGGCTGGTTATGGGAAGCCCATCAAGTGGAATGGGGGAATCACAGGATTGAGAAGCCTTTCTCCAATGTCCTCAGTTTCATGTGGTAAACACACAGCTGAGCCCAAGCCCTGCTCACTCGCTATCACTGCCTGCAGGCAGTCTCCCTGCTCCGGCTGGGTGAAGTTCGATCACCCCCTGTGCCCAGGGCGCTGGCTCTTCTTAAATCACCCGGGCGCTCCAGTCCAGCCCGCTAACTGCGTCTCCCTCCACGCGGGGACTCTTACTAGCGAGTTAGCGCAGGGTACGTGCGAACCCTGATGTCTCTTGGGGGCATCAAGAATGCGCACTCGCTCCTGCAGCCGACGTCATGGAAACTCGTCCGCCTGAGTTCCCACCAGCTCCCCCGCGGAGCCGACCGGAGACTCTGGCTGGTCATTTCAGCGGCAGCGCCTCTGCCGGTTAGTTTCGGCTTTGAGACGTGCCCTGGACAGCGCGCAGGGCGCTTTCCAGCCTGCTCCACCTGCGGAAGGGTGACTAATGACGAGGGCGCCGTCCACACCGCACGCCACCCGAGCCAGCGGTGCCGAACCCCGCTTTTATCAGTCCGGGGGTATCAGAAACTCTGTGGCAGGGTGCGAGCAGAGGGGGCAGAATGCCGGAACCCAGCGGGGTAAAACGCTAACACACCAGTTATGTGATACGATGCCGCCACGGAGATGAAAGAAGCGCGTTAATCGTGAAACACCCCTCGACGGTAAAAAGCGCTTGGCGCGAGTAAACCAGGGGAGCCGGTCGCGAGTGACCTTACCTCCGTGACCTGCTTGATTAAACGTTTACTCGGACATGCGCTAGACTTCGCTAGAAACCTAATGATGCTGAAACGCTGCCGCAGTAAAACTGATAGGATGCGCCCAGGAGAATGTTCCGAGCACCAGGCAACACAGGCGGCAAACTAGCACAAAAAGGGCACATGGCAGAGATTGGAAACATTACTCAAAGTATTTAAATAACAGATATGCGAAGAGGGGGGAGGCGGCAGTCCTCCAGTCTGGAGCTGCGGGCGGCGCGCTTCCTCGGCTGAGGGCGGCGGTTCAGCTCGGCTCATCTCTGCGCGGTTTCCCACGAACTCCACCGAACCGAGTGGAGGCGAACCAGGCCGCTTTCTAATTAAAAGCCAACACCCCCACCAAGAATAACCATCAAAATGTGTAATGCCGATTATCACCAAAAACCTCACCAGTAATCGCCCGTCCATCCCGTGACATAAAAAAAAAACATATTTTCAGTAACAGGGTTATTTGTAGCTGATTAAAAACACCATTTAATGTTAAAGAGTGTTTCATTTATCAGGCGGGGTTCGGGTGTTCAGTAGTGTAACACCAGGCTTTGTAGTTATAAAGTTGTTTTATTCCGTAACCAGTAGAGCAATCGCACGTCAAGAACTGGATCCCGGACCGGGAAACGATCTCACTGGCTCACGGGCTGGTTTACCTGGGCACCGCACAGGAGCGTTTAAATATACATATAAATTGGGCTAGCTTGACCCACCCATTGTAGTCTTCACACAGCCTGCCGAGACAAACCGGAGGGGGTCAACTCGTGGTACTGCAATGGAATTATACCAGGATTAGGTTTGAAACACAAATTCCTCATCTCTTCGGGAATTACTGCTCTGGCGTCGTCCCGTACCGTGGTGCGAAAGTGCGCCCCAACATTTCCGGGGGGCGGCTCGCCAGCAGCGCAGCAGACACGCGAGCTGGGATCCCGACTTGGGAACGAGGGATGACACCGTCGCTTCCGCGTTTCCCGAGGACGTCACAGCCCGGACCTCACGGAGCTGAAATAAAAGGTTAAGTCGAGTCAACGTTTGCATAACAGACAGCAAAGAAAAAGTTTGTTGCTGTTGTTGTTGTTTTTTAGGAGCAAACTGGAAAAGGTGAGGTTATTAACAGTAACCACTGCTGTGCAAGCCGCGATGAGTCACTTTAGCCCCGAGGAAGAGGTATGACTTCAAAGTAGTGGAGACGTGTTGTTTACACGGGGGAACTATATTTGTGTTGTTGTTTCTGTTCTGCAAACTCTGGACGAAAATGCTGAGACAGAGCAAGAAAGCTCCGGAGCCGTAGCTCCACCCGCGCAGTGGGAAAGGGAGATTGGCGACACTTCTTCTGCTGGGGTCTGAGATACACTCTTGGGCAGGCTGCTCTCTCTTTTTTTTTTTTGCGTAATTCAAACAGGGCTTTTTTTCCTGTAAAGCGCGGACTAGTTAAAACTGGATTAGACTGATAAAGCGGACCAGCTACCTGATCCGAGCATAATTACGATGCGCCTGCAGTGCCACTGGGTGAACGTGGAAGTCAGGGGAGAAACACAGATGGGCAGCAGCCTCCGGTCATAAGGGACGCGCATTCCACCCGCGGAAAAACAGGGCAGCGAGGGAAACGAAAGGAGAAAACGAGCACGGAAGAGAAGGCTGTTCGGTTTTCGAGTTCGCGATGGAGGTCACCCCCTCACAGCAGGCTGCCGAGACCGGGGGGGATCACCCGGCCAGCGTCGTGGTGGGCGCGGGCGCCGAAAAAGCGGAGATCACCAGCCCCAGCCCCCCGTCCAAGCAGCGCTCCCTGCGGGCGGTCTACGTGCTCAACGACGGGCTGAAGGCGGTCGCCGCCAACAGCCCGGAGTCGGGGGCGCTCCAGTGCCTTCAGCGCGCCTGTGATGCGGAAAGCGCCGTGCTGACCACAGTGACCTTCGGCAGACTGGACTTCGGGGAGACCAGCGTGCTGGACACGTTCTACGATGCTGGTAAAGTTCACCCTGTAGCCAAACGTACCACCACCACCACCACCACTTCTGCCGCCTAGCAAAAAGAAAAACACAACTCTCTCGTAAGCGTTGCATGTCTGTGCGTGTTCCCGAATCGCTGGGAATGGTAGCTGCACATTTTTTTTACCCCTTCTTTGTGGTTTGCCAACACTGTAGGAAGTTAAGAGACTGCCGAGTCAGGAGAGAGCGAATGACTTCGAAACAATAATTCACTTTCCTGTTAGTGCAAATATGGAAGAAACGCACATTATAATTCGACATTAAAAATACCTTGCAGAGCTCTGGTGCTGCAGCAATCCTGCATCGCATTTGCAGAAGGGGAGACACTGGACGTGACTGCCCTTACTGTGCACATTGCATTTAGTTGCATGTATTATATGACATAAGTTTTCTTTTAAGTTGTTTTTGTTTGTTCTGAGACCCAGGGACCTCTTCATAAAAAGCACAACTCATTTGTAACTGTATAGGAAGCTGACATGCAAGATCTCACATCTGCTGTGACCAAATACTGTAGCTTGTTTACATAACTCCGCTGGACATTTGCCCCTGCTGCAGCTTCAGTTTCTACACTTCACACTGGTGGCACAGCACTGGAAGTCAAGGCTCAGGAGCTTGAGGGCGTTACACGCTGCAGCAGGTTGTAAGAGTGATCGGCGAAGCTCAGGTGGTAAAGGTTGGGCTATGAATCTGGCCCAGCCACGCAGATTTTCTCCAGACAATCCAAGCTAACAGCACGGCGTGGCTGTGCAGAGTTTTCATCACACCACCATTTCTGCAGAGACAGAGCTGTCTGATCCCAGCCTCTCTGTGGTCCGTGGTGGGACTGAGCTGTGCTGACTGGTTCAGGGAGTGGCGTGGAGACAGGCCAGACTGGCTGGGTATCAGTGTGCCCCCCTCGCCAGCCCTCTGCTTTCTCTGCAAAGACCCCTTCGCCAGCATGGCTTGACTCAGCTGGTCCTCTCGTCCTGCAGTGCTGACCGCAGTCTGACCCGTACGCAACAATTTTCTCACGTCCACACCTCTCTGTCCATATCCCTGACCCCCAGAGCAATGTGCTGCCCTGTCCTCTAACCCAGTGGTGGAGTTGTGTCTGCAGACAGGCAGGAGCCTTAGATCGAGCTGTAGTTTCTACATGGACAGGCCGGGGGTGCAGCCTGTTTCTTCTGTAACTCGCTGCTGCAGTTTAATGCACAGAACCCCACTGTATTTACAGAAGAGCAGCTGCGCTGTGCTTTTCATGCAGAATGCACTGCAGGGCCTGACAATACTCAGTGGCGTGCACCTCTCACAGGTACTGCAAACCTGCTGACAGGTCTGATCAATCCAGTACAGACCTGAAGAGGATAGCCTCTACTGATTCCTATCCTGTTCTTGAGTTTAGTATCATTCCCTGGGTTGAATTTCTAGCTCTAGTTCAGTTGCCTTGCATAGGGGCCTCCCATAGCCAGAACTTAATCACCGAGAATACTAGGCTTCGGCACTGGGTGAACTACTGTAAGTATTTCCATTGCTGTTATAAAAGCTTGAATTTTTTTGATCTTGGAGAGCAGGTGCCAGATATAAGCTATTCCAGTCCATTGTTTGACTTTAAACGAATGTATTTAAGGGACCTGCAAACAAAGGTTCTGTGCTGCAGGCGGAGTGATTACAGAAAGTCAACCCCTCTCGCCCATTTCTCTCCTGTTCCTGACCTCCTGCCTTGTTTCCATCTCAGGAAAGTGTTGCCATGACACTGACGTCATGTGTGGGGGCTCACTGTCCATTTCCCAGAGCTCTGTATTGGCAGAGCTCGTTCTCCTCATGGGGTGTAGGGTGGGAGGGCCTCCCTGCTTCTTCAAACAGCTCAGTCCCAGTCCTAGAGTCCAGTGAAGGCACTGGGACGCAGCCTGTTTCTTGTAGGCCATTACACAACAGGGTATTCTTGAACAGCAAGCACTTGAATATGCCGGCTTCATGTGTCGAAGCATTGTAACAGTGTCAAGATGCTAACCTCCTCACTTTGGGATACAACTGACAACATGTGCCTTTCTAAATGTGAAGGCAGTCCAGTCTTTTTATAGCCTGTTCACATAGCTCTGAAAACTGAGCTGTGTTGATTAATTCATTTCTATTTATGCGTGCTGCATGCTTGATTTATTTATCATCACTTCACAGTGCTGTGTCCGGCTGTAACCCACACCTTCTCCAGAGCCATGGAAGTCATTTTCCTTTTCATATTGTGAAGTTGGGATTTTCACCTCTAGCTTGAACTTGCCCGTCAATAGCGACACCTTGGATTTCTGGGATAGTTTATATGACAGTTAATACAGAGGTTCTGGTGGATTGGAAGACCATGTGACAGCACAAGAATAATAGGTTAATGTCCAAAGAGCCAAAACTCTACAGTCAGTCCTGCTCCAAAAATTCCAATATAGCCCAGGAACCATGGTCTGCTCTTTTCAT